AATCTAAAAGAAAAGTAAAATGCATAGGTTTAAATAGGAACAGTTTAATAAGTGACACAAAATGTAATATCATCATCATCATAACAATGATAAACAACCACAAAAATAGTGATAAAGAGGAATAAAACCCAAAAAGAAAAGGGATGAACCTTACAATAGATCATCCCCCACTGGCCAGTGACAGATCAGCAGCTCTTGTACGACTTCCCCCAGTTTATATACTGGGCATGATGTTCTGTGGTGTAGAATATCCCTTTGACCAGTTCAGGTCAGCTGTCCTGGCTGGGCTTTCTTCCAGCTACTTGTGCACTTGCTCATTGGCAGGGCATGGGAAACAACAGTCCTGATGACAACAGCCAAATCATTAGTGCTTTATCGATACTATCCTCCTGCTGAATGTAAAACACAGCATGCAATTAGGAAAAGAACAACCCCATCCCAGAAAAAATCAGAACATCAAATATTTCTGAGATTATACATGTTCCATATTACTTTTCAAATATTCTTGTAATTATGCAGACTGAATAACATAAAGGTAAATCACTTTGGCTCACTTTTAGAATTAGCAATCCATAAAGATTACCACAAGAAGAAAATCAAGTCTGCCTGCTAAATACTTTGTAATTTTTGCTTATCTTAATGTCCAAGTCAGTCTTTCTTTTCAACCACCAATGACTTCCTATATTGTGATTACAAGTTCAAAAGGCTGGTACTGCACTAGAGGATGTCAGTGATACATAGAAACATGGCGCTTTGTTAATGGATATTCAGGAACCAACCATGCACTTAAATTTCAAGTTGACAAAGTCAAGTGCTTATGTGGCACTTCCTTAGAAGTGTCATTATCAAAGGCTTAGATTGATTCAGACACTTTAATTCATCCAGTGGTGGCTACCTGCAGTCCTACTACAACCTGGCCCAAAGACTTGATAGTCAGAGAATTACATCAGCCAGACCCTGGGAGAAAAATTTAAGCATTACACCAGCTGGAGTGTTGCCCGATCCGAAGAAAACACAAACAACCGAAGTCGTTTATGCGGTGCTTTATTGAGGGCCCGGGAGCCTGTGGACTAGCGTCCAAAGACAGAGCCCCGTTTCACAGAAAAATCACAGGGTTTTTATATGTTTTCTACACGATTTCTTCATCATCACAATTTCTTACTTCTCTTTCACTACTTGGTACGATTATCTCTCTGACCTTTAAGTTTTGCCAAAAGGTACATTCCTAGATTATCTCCTAGTTACACTGCTTACATTGCAATATCTGCTATATAGCTCATCTGCAGGTTACATGTGGCCTACCAAGCCTTAGCATAACTACTACTAATGTCAACTAATGCTAACTATTAACGTTTGTTACTATCTTAACAGTACAGTTTATTGAACCAAATGGCAACAGGAGTAGTAATGACTATGGGAAATTTTGGTAACAATGAAAGTGGATTTAGTCTCCTTGAGAGCTTGTTTTAATGGGAGTGATGTCCAGACATTAGGAAGATGAATTACTTGCCTGAAGAATAGTCTTGTTAAGGTTTAGGGCTTGTCATGATTCAGTGATCACAGACCTAGCAGGAGGTTAGCAGAGCTGGGGGAGAAGGAGGCACCACTAAGAGTGGATGCAAAGAATGCAGAATTTATAGGCCACAAGGTCATTTGGCAGAACTCCCAAGATAAGGAAGAGAAAAAACTGACATTTCAATCAGGTAAAGGGTAATTCTGGCAAGAAAAAATAATGACCACAGACTCAAGAAATCCACTAACTCAAAGAAGAGAAAGATTGAGCAAGCAGGCTAATTAGCAAAAGAAGCAAGGGAATCATTTAATGAAGAGAAGACAGAATACTAATTAATAACAGGATTATGTAACTTGTATCAAATGAACATTAATGCCTTTGTTTGCTAAAATGTAGAAACAGTAAAAAGTTTTGGTAGTCTGTGTGCTGGGAATGTGGGTCTGCCACCCAGCACCCCTTTCTGTTTGGAACTGTAAATAAATTAAATACCTCAGCTCTGTGTGTGGATCAGCCTCTTGCATTAACAAGTGAAGGAATCCATTTTGGGACAACAATATTGGTGACCCAAATGGGAGCTACGAAGCCTTGCCTTGCCTGGATTATCTTGTTGCCATCAGCAAAGGAGAATCAGATCAGATAGGATTTGGACCAGTTTGATTGGAGATTCCATCAAATCCTCTCCAGCATGAAGGCAGTGAGCAAGTCAAAGGTAACACTCCAGAGGTATTTGAGCAAGGGCAAAAGTGGTGTGAATTTCTGGACTGGTGAATATCAAATTTCATTTTGTTGTAACTGATCGGTGTGACCAGTCCTGAGCAGACCAGTGGGACTGGTAGTTGAAAACTTCAAGCTCTGTGTAAACTGGATAAGGACGATTTGGAACAGTGACTGTCACTGCACACAACAAAAACAGTGTATGAAAGACGGGATGTGTCCTCCTATCTTTCCTGACACAAGGTCAAAGCAGCATGTAACTAACAACAGATTAGTTGTTAGGGGATCAGAACTGAGAAATAAATGCATGCCTAGGCTTTAAAATTCCTACACACAAAACTGTGTGATGGGAGAGAGTGCTTTTCCTTTCTCTGACAATAAGGAGTTGGAGCAGAGAGTAAAACAATTATTTGTATTAGAGGTCTGGACCTAAAGATAAAGGAATTGGGCAAATGAGTATTGGCAAACTAGCCCACAGTTTTTTTGGGGTTTTGTTTTGAAAAGCTGGAGTAAGCTGGGAAAGATCCAATGATGAAAGATAAAATGAACACATATTGTAAGCAGTGGTGGACACTTTGTACATTGGAGAATGAGTAAAATGGATTTTTGCGGTTTTATTTTGGAGTCAGTGTTTTGTTGCTGACTTGGTAATGGGATCAGTTGTGGTTTATGTTGATGCTTTTATGACACTGTATAGAGAGACAGGTATTCAGAAAAAGTGTATGTTGGGAGGAGATATGCTGATGTCATGTACTAAGGAGAAAAAGGCAAAGATCATGTGTTGCAGAGGGGATGAGGCAGAAGATGTGTGAATGTTACTTCCCTCCTTTTCACACCATAGAACATAGGAGTGGGGATAAATAAAGAGAATATGGATCAAAATAAATAGCATATCGGAAGTAAAGGTTTTAGTCCTGCTGCTGGCCAGACTCAGGGAAATAATCAACCAGTGATTCACTCATTTTCTAAACAAGCAATAGGGGTCTGCCTGGTTTTATACATGTCATTTTTTATATTTCATATTTGTTGAATTGCAAGTGATCTGTTGGTTTGTACTGAGAGAATCTTGAAGGAGGGTATCAGCTTTTGGAAACTGTTAACAGTTAGGTTATCCTAACTGGAGGTGTACTTAGGCTAGATTGACTACCTTGTTACTGTGGAAAGAAAAGAGACTGGGATTACAAAGGTGAAAGAAACACCATAAGCAGGGGGCTTGGGGCCTGAAAGGCCCCTACTTCCCCCTGCACAAACATACACACACACACACTTTTGGCCTGAATCAATGTGATATTTGTAGGCAGCAAGGGTCATTGATGTTTGAGAATTTTTTACAATGAATGAGGGGACCAGGGGAAAATATCAAGACCCTCTAGTTCTAGTAAAACTAGAGAAACAACAAATTTTTGATAAACAGCAGAGCCACATATTCAGTAAAAACTATCTGTAAGGGCTAAGTAAAGTTACAGCACTGATTTTTGGGGCAGGTTTATGGCCATTCCTGAAACACAGAGTGGCCAATTGGAGACAGTAAATTGACTGATGAGTTACTATATGCCAGAATGTCCCTGTCCTCCATAGGATGAGATTTATTATGCAAGTTAAATGCTTGAGTCAGAAAGTTCTATATATTTCACAAGAAAAGGCACAGAAGACTCAAATCTGTTTACTAATGACCCAGAGCTCAACAGAATGAACAGGATTTAAGAGTAAGAAACTAAATAACTGTGGACAAATACTTATTTGACTGGTTTGGATTTAAAAAATGCTTTCTTTTGCATTTCAGTGGATGAGCAGAGACAGACTCTCTCATACACCAGGTGAAAGAACCACTTTTGGGACAACAGGAGGAGGCTTCAGAACTAGTTTTCTTACTCTGAAATGTAAGGAATTCCTCTTTTTTTATATAAAAGCATGCTTTCCTTAATGTATGTAAAAATTGAGGCTGATTCATCAAGTGATGGAAAAGAACAAAGCTTCTCTGAACAGTGAACTATCAGAGATTTTGGAGAAAAAGACAACTTTCTTAAGAGTTGTATATACTTCTTTTTTCCCAACATAGTCATAGCAACATCTGCCCCTAGTGAGTCAATACTTAAGTCAACAATGTTATTTTTCTGATAACATTTAAGCCATTGCCCTAACAATTTATTCTACTAAAAATATATTTGTTCTTAAATCAATAAAATTACATCTTGCATTGATTGCATATCTGTTAGCCAGGGACATGATTATTTTTCACTGTCTTTGCCAATTTAAGCATAAAAATATAATTTCTCAAGCAGGACTGCCTACCCTAGTTAGAATGTAAGAAGATTAAATGCTCCTACCACATTCTAACCTGCTGATCTGCCAATATCCTCTGAATCACTAGATTGACTGATTTACTCATTTTTCAGTCAAAGCAGAAATGAGCAAAACTTTTGCAACTGTGTGAAACTGAAATAAACAGTAAACCTTGGCAGGACCATAGCTGTTAGAAAGAGTAACTCCCACACAGTGAGTAATACCCATCATGTTGTACAGATGAAATAAATTCAGAGATGTGAAAGAGAAGCATGTGAGCAAGACAAGACAACCAAGAAACTGCAAGCTTACGGATCTGCAAAAAGGAAAGGAAAACACTGCTGACTGCTTCAACAGCATGACCATTATGGTTCAGAGAAGTTTACTGCAAATTTGCATTATACTGGCATTGTACATCAAAATCTCTTGTTCAGTTTGTCTTTTCCAAGGAAACAAAGTGAACTATCATATCATAAACTTTCTGTGGAAAATGGGTGGTTATTTTCCTCAGCAATGTCTTAGGGAAACAACTGATTTCAGATTCCCTGTGGAGATTACTAAGGTCACACAGAAGAACATCATAAGGATCATCTATGAATTCCTTCAACAGATCTTCCAACTATTTAGCAAAAATCTTCCTGTTGATGTTTGGAATACAAGCAAGATCGAGAACTTCCAAAATGGAATTCATCATCAAATTGAAGAACTGGAGACATGTTTGTCAGAAGAACAATCAAAAGCAAGAAACAATTTTCAAACGTGGATCCTAAAAACCACGATATACAGCATAAAAAAGTACTTTCAAAGAATCACCAATTTCCTAAAAGATAAGCAATACAGCCATTGTTCCTGGGAAGCAGTTCAAATGGAATTGAGAACATTTCATATAATTTTTGACAGTCTTTTGAAAAAAAAACCTACATAAAGAGGTAAAATCTTCTATGTTTTGTTTATTTTAATAATACATTAATTTCCCACTTCTTGATAGGCTTTTCATATCCACATTTTAATAATTTTCAAATTGACAGCTGGGGCTTGTTTTCAAAAAAAAACATTCAGTGCTCTAAGTTAAACATGTAGAGTACTCAAATGAAAGGGCACTTGGTATCATTGCTTCTGTAGAAGATCTTTAAAAATACAAATGGATATGCGTTGTCTCTTTGCACTATTTTAAAAAAGGTTTTGTGGTGTTTCCACATAAAATAACAGTCGTTTTACAACCTGAAAAATTTACATACATTACTGCCTAGATTTTATTTTTGCATTACTTCACTAACTTGGAAAAAAGTACAAGATGCAGGCATGCATAAGGAAGACAGACATTCCTGTAGTCTTATACATCATGAAGATCTTAAATTACCAAACAGATGAGAACTTAAGATGAGCATGACATCTTTAAACTAAAAAAAAAAAAAAAAAGATAGGTAGTCCTCCCAAACAAGAAAAGTGAATTACCAGCTTTGATATTTATTTTGCAAGTATAATTGTCTCCACAGCCTATGGAGATACATTTATATCTATTTATATATTATATATTAAATATACATATATATATATGGTATATATAAAAGATTTTTATATAGCTTTCTATACAGAATATTGAATAATTACAGCATAGATTTTCAGGACATGTTGATTCAGAACACTATGTAAAATATGTATGCATTCACTGTGCTTCAAGTTCATAAGCAGACAAAATTAATTTGAAAAGAACTACTGTATGAACACAGATATTAACAAATTTTTTCCATTCCTCTCCCATCTTTCTTTCCTTCATTCAGGCAGAAGCAAACAGTACTTCAAGTTATCATCTTCATCTGTTTAACTGTTACTCAAGATACCCTGAATACCCAATGGTGTCAATATCACTCCCTATACATTATGAAACTGGAAGACTTCTGACATGAATTTTTTCCACCTCAGATTTCACATATCTTCAAGCATATCTCATGCCTCATATATTTTTATCATAAATGGAATGTGACAAATTTGAATATAAGAAGAAAAGAGTTAAAATATGTCTGTAACTTCTGGAACTAGGGAAGAAAAAGAGATTATTTTGACAAAAAAAAATTATGTATTGCTACCATTACCTGAGGACAGAATCTCAGCATCTTACTAGAACTTTGAGGGCTGAACTGTAACTCAGGTTGCCTTTCCTCCCTTTATTCAAATGCAATATATATCTAAAAATCCCTTCCCACTTTGGGGGAAAAAAAAAAAAGGAAAACTTATTCTGCATGCAGCTACTGAAATGGATTGGTAGAATTCCTTATCCCAGGAATGCAACAACAGGATAGTTACAACTGCCTAATTTTAGGCAAATTAGACAGTGGACTAGGGAGATCAGGCCCACCCATTCCCCTCTCCATGCTCCGGCTTTGCAGAGACAGGGAGGAAAGAATGGATTTCAGACTCCTGAATATAATTCTGCTTTCAATCAACAGAAGAGCTCAGTTCTTAACTGTTTGTATAGGGAACATACGAGCAGTTTGGCACATGGATAATGTAACATTCCCAACTCCTTCAGTCAGTTTCTGTTTTATTAATTTAAACACTTTACAACTATGCTGACACTGAAGTGATGTTTGATGCCTGTAAAATATGTTCAATTACACTTACTTTACTTGCTTATTTTTTTTTTATTTTATTTTTTTTTTAATTTGCTGTTTTTAATCTGTGGTTACTGTGGGGAATTAATGTAAACAGATTTTGGATCTTAAGATCAAGGACGTTGAGGAACTGAAGGCCATGACCTTTAGGTTTCCCTAGGCATAATGTATCAGGCAAGACAATATAAGATTGTATCAATGGACCTAAATTTATATTGTACTTTCTTTGCTCTGTTCTGCACTTGGGTTCCAGTCTCTAAAAAGCCAAGGGTCAGCACAGGCTAAAGCAAGTATGACTGGTAACAACCTTGCACAGCCTACTGGATTCTAACTGGATACTATATGTTCTTCATGGGATCACATCACATTTTGGTTAGGTAATGACAGCGTCAGGACCTAAAAAAAGCCCATCCCTGGACAGTGCAGAAACATTCACTTCCTTCATCAGCTCTACTGGAGAGCTACTTCCATGACTATAAAGCAGATATGCCTATTAACTCATGTATTCCTCAGTGACAATTGTGACACATACTTCCAAGATGCAGGCTGGTTGGATTTTTTTGAAAAGGGGAAATAGAGACCTCATTAGATGGTAATTTAGGGTATCCACACAAGCTTACCTGACTGATATCAACTAAGCATTTATAGGGAACATGGCTGTTTAAGAACTACCGAGGCTAGCTCTCTGTAAAAAAATCTGTGCTTTTTTACAAGTTAAAGTTAACTGTATCTTAAAAAAGAAAAAGGAAGCAACTGTAATCAATATTAATTTCACATTTCTCACCTGGAATTCAGCCTCAACCCTCCTTGAGGAAACAATATGTAACCTTCTATTCCTGTGGAAAGATCTGCATTTTCTGAAACTGAATATGATCTTCTACTATTTGAAGCCAAGTAACAAAGTCTTGACTATTTTTTTCTTTACATGAGTACTTAAAAATGAAACACTGAACATTCATATAAAAATTCTAGACTACTGTTGTTATATATAACTCTTGCAATGAAACTTTTTGTAACTTTTTATCGCTGCTGTAACAAAAGAAACACAACCACGTCTGTTTGTTCAGGTTTTTTTAATGCATTTGCTTTGAAATGTCTGTGAATAGTCACCACTTCAATGTCTATCTTAATCAAGCACTCTAATACCATGCCGGTGGGTACAAGAACAAAGCGGGGGATAGCTGGGGAAGGGGGGGTGGGGGGTGGAGAGACACTAAAATGGGAAAGTGAAAATAGTTTTCTATGGTTTTTTGAAGTAGCAACAATTTCAAAGCCACTTAAAATTTCTTTTAAGAAAAGATAAAAGACTACATTTCAAGATCCTCTTGAATTCTTTTTTTTCTTGGTTAAAAGAAGAAAAAGTTAAGTTCAAATTCTGCAGGGAAGCATCTGAATGATCAATGATCTGAAATGATCCATTGTACCATATTGTACTGATCAATGAAATTATCTGAAATATAGACAGTTGTGAGCTGCTTTTTCTGCAATTCTGCCAAGATAAAAAGCTGAAGCAAGGAATGAATAACCAAAGGTCAAGAAATCAGCCCCCAGTTACACTTTTCCAGTTTCAGCACACTGGAAATACCATTCAAGTCAAGGCTTAGTATCAGAGCTCATGAAGCTGCTTTAAACGCTTGTTCAGCACCCTCTCCAGCTGCTGATTCAGAGACTGAACTTCTATTTGCTATAATTTGCTTTAAAACTTTAGAGTGGCATTATTTATTTATTTTTATACTGAATGGTAATTAGTGCTATATCACAAAAACAAAAATCCAAAATCCGAAACTGATGTTCACTCTGGTACAAAGAGATTTATTTTTAAGACAGAAGTGGTCATATATTACCAACCACCTGCATATACTGCATGCAACTATCCACAGAACTTATTGAAGTCTTTCTAGATTAAAAACCTGCACCTTTTGTCAGCAAAAGGGTATGTTGAACCTTCTAAACAAAAATATTTTTTTTTATTTGATTGTATTGGTGTGGTATTTTTTATTGTAGTATAATTTATTGGTTTGTATTGGTAATCAAATGCCCTCAACAGCAGAAGCAGCATATGTCTTAAATTGAAACTGATGACAGATTTCCCAGACCAAACAGTTCTTAGAAACTCTTGGCCAAAGAGCCCTCTGCTCCTAAAAAGTGTGTTCTTCTCAATCTACTTGATTAAGCTAAGTCTCCTTTTATCTTTCCAGGGTAAGTCAGAAACCAGTGATGGTTCACAAGACAGGATGTAAAACTGGGTCATCTTTTCTTCCTCCCTTTCTCGCTTTCCAATTTCACATCCTTGTTCTATTAGCTGTTGAAACTTTTCCTGAGCTGATGAGACCAACAGAAAATTATCCAAAATACCCAAACAAATACAATCCATACTTTTGTTCAAAGGTAGAGATTTAAAACCAGACAAGAACATGCACTGCATATGAGAACCAGTGCAAAAGAGAAAGGGTAGAGTGGCAGGAAGACTGGGTAACAAGAACAGTTAGCAGTTATCTCCTCTGCTTTTCTTGTCTGGTCCAAATACCTTTAAAAGAACCTCTCAGTTACTTGGTGTATAACTGATCGTCAGCCACACCTGCAGCTCCCTTGCTGCAAGTGTTTCTCCTTTAATATAATAATATGCTAATTACCCATCACCAGAACATCTTAGTGGAATAAACCTCTGGAAATAAATTCGCTTCTACAGTAGTAGCTTAAAATTCCAGTTATATCTTACTCATTTTATGTTTCTCTCTCCATCTTATCTGGACAGTTCTTGTCTAAGTCTCTGGCTCAGACGTGGCTCACAAGACACTCATCTATCAGTCAAAGGTACTGAAGCATCTAATCCTGAGACAATACCCTAAAACAGAAGAATGAAAATAACATTTGTTTTGTCTAAAAAAATTCCATCTGAAATCTCAGTTTACCTAACTAGTGATAAAGACTAAATATTAAACAAAGACAAGTACCATGTTTGTCCTGTAACATTTCTAAACAACTGCTATTCCAAATGACTCTGTAATCCTTATTCCCAGAGCACTTGGACCTCTCTGCTCTCAGTTTCTGTTCCAGAACACAAGTACCTTTCTCAGGGGCCTAATGATGCCAAGTACTTTTCTGGCTCTATATATTAAGAATATTTTTCAGGAGAGAAACACCAGCAAAGAAACTGAAGTGATCTGGCCCAGTCCCAAATCTCACATCACTCACTAATGCGTTCTAAGCAGCAGCAGCTACTACACCAACACACCAGCAAGCTGCATAAAATCATCATTGCAAGAGGCTTGATGCCAAGCAACATCATGCCATTTTGCACCCACCTCCTTTTTTCTTTAGCACTTTCTGGAATTCAGTATTGCTTGACTGTACCCTTATGTACCCTCGTGCTCCTTTTCTTTCTCCCCTACAGCCGGCTTTCAGATGTGCATATTGTCTGCTAGAAAACCACCAGTAGCCTCCTTCTGGTGTTTTTTTGGTTTGTTTTTTCATTTTGTTTGGTTGGTTTGGTTTTTTTTTTTTGGTTTATTGTGGTTTTTGTTTTTTTTGTGTTCCAGGAATGCTCTTTTCTGTGCCCCATGGAGCAGGGAAGCATAATCATCACAATTATCAGCCCACTCCAAGAAGTTTGCAAATCTTGAACAATATGCTTTGCTGTGGAAGAGGGAAATGGGCTCTCCTG